CATATCTTAAAACCTCTTCATAGTATATAGTCATCAATTATATATACTACAAAGAACAATAAGGTATGGTATTTCAAAATATTCTTAGTAAAACATAAAGCATGTTATCTCATAAAGTGTAAATCTAATTTACTTATAAACGTTTCATAAAACGTAACCATTAAATCATGCTTTTCATGTATGCATTTCTAATAGTAAAATCATGCATTTTATAAGGGGTTCACTCAATGATACTCCATCCTCGAAGAGCCGTGCGAAATAGGAGGGATGAAAACGCCGCTAATAAAAGGTCCAATTAATACATGTTAGATCCCACATCGCCCAAGGGAGAGGATCATATATGCCTTATATGTACATGCCCACCTCCATATAGTACGAGGTCTTTTGGGAGCTCACTGGCTTCGGAGTTCATCGGAACTCTGAAGTTAAGCGAGTTTGTGCGAGAGCAATCCCAGAATGGGTGCTCCACTGGGAAGTTCTCGTGTGAGTTCCCATAAACAAAACTATGAAGGCGTGGTCGAGGCCCAAAGCGGACAATATCGTGCTACGGTGGAGTCAAGCCTAGGTCGAGATGTGATAATTTGGTATCAGAGCCAATCCTTAGCCGGATGTGTGCTGATGTGGACGTCGGGCCCCTAAGGGGGGTGGATTGTTACATCCCACATCATCCAGGGGAGTGGATCATGTAAGCCTTATATGTATATTCTCATCTCTACCTAGCACGAGGCCTTTTGGGAGCTCACTGGCTTCGGATCCTTTAGGAACTCCGAAGTTAACCGAGTTCGCGCAAGAGCAATCCCAGGACGGGTGACCTACTGGGAAGTTCTCGTGTGAGTTCCTAGAAACACAACTGTGATGGCGTGGTCGGGGCCCAAAGCGGACAATATCGTGCTACGGCGGAGTTGAGTCCGGGATGTGGTGGGGGCCCAAATTTGACACGCCCCGATCCCGATATTCCCCAAATACCAAGATAGGCACGTGCTGGCCAACACCCGAGGATGACGAAAGCTATTTATTGAGTGCAAAAGCTGAAAACAAGGGATAAATAAGACTTATAAATATTAAAGAATATGCATTTAATGAACGTGTTCAGAGTATACAACTAACTAGAACACTAAAAGAAATAATATAAAATTGAATGAAACAAAGGATGGATCTTACACCGAGAGGACTCGAAGATGCCGATGCAGAAGTGCCTGGATGCTAGGATTGTATGCCTCGATTCTAAGTCCTGAATGGGGCGCAAAACAAATATGAGGGGACCAAGTTGATATATATATATATATATATATATAATAAAACAATTATCAACGTACTAACTCCCAGGTTTTATGAAAACACACATATCATGATAAACATAGGTTTTTCGAAACCTGGCATGTCATGTAATGTCTCAAATCATAACTTGTATATATAATAATCACTATTGAATGTCCGACAACTCTCCAGACCCAATGCCGGCTCCCCGTCTTTGAGCAAATAGTTAGAGGAAAATTACCCCCAAGCCCCATGCTGGCTCCCCGTCCCTGTGTTAATAGCCAGAGAAAAACACTTCAGACCCTATACCAACACCATAACTGTCACCCGGGACGAACCGGAATCTATCCCTTCGTCCCGTAGCGGAATAGGGACCGCTAGGTAAGTACAAAACCATTAAACATATATATATATATATATATTGAAAAACAACTTCATAGTATAAAGTCATCCATCATCTATACTATAAAGAGGTGTTCTAAACATGTTCTAAATATAATATCGTCATCCATCAAATATTCTATAAGAACACCAGTTATAGGAAAAATAGTAATAATTCAAAATAGCCTTAGTAAGCATGTTATCTCAAAGCATTCCATAGAACATAATCATTAAATCATGCTTTTCATGTATACGTTTCTACTATCAAAACATGCATTTTTAGAAGGGATCCACTCATAGTACTTTGCCGTCGAAAAGCCGTGTTGCTATCGAAGACAGAAATGTCACAATATATGCACCTAAGCACATAAAGTGTACACTTAGTCAAACTCTACTCAAAAAATTTAATTTGGGAAAACAAACATCGAAAACGAGTTCAGTACGTCGAAATTAGCCTAGGAGGGGTTCTGGACGAAAACCTAAAAAGTCAACGGTCAAAGTCAACGTGAACCGTTGACTGGTTAAAGTCAACGATGACCATTGACTGGGTCAAAGTCAACGGATCCGGGTCAAGGGTTTTGGGTTGGACCAGGTTGGGCCTAAAAGGTTTGGGTCCAAGGGTTTAAAAGGTTTGGGCTTTAAGCTCGACCCACTGTAAAAGGGTTTTGGGGTTTAAATAAAAAGGTATTTGGGTTGGGCTTTACGAGGCTTGGGCCTCTGGACATTTGGGCTTCGGGTTTGGGTCAAATGGGCTGGGTAACCCAGCCCAAAGGCCTGGGTTAAGGGTGGTTTTCAGGCCACCATTTGGCCGGTTCATGGGTTGATTTTCCAAGTCTCATAACTTAATCATTACTCAACGAAATCGAGTGAAACAAAAATGAAAGTTGTAGTACTCAGCGAAACGAAGAGATTTATACCTTGCACGCCAGCCAAATTGCCATAGTTTGGTTGTAAATTTCCTCGAAAGGGGCGGTGCTCGCCGAAAAATTTGGAAAAGCTACTCCGAGCTATTTTTTGCGATTCAAACGTATACACAACTTAAAACAAGCTTCGATCTAACTTTAAAACACATCCCAAGGGTTTTTAGAAGCTTACCAACGTTGGGAAATCACGTAACTCATCGGGGAAGACGATCAACAATACCGGCCGAATGGAAGAGAAGAGTTTGGGGTGCTATTTCTTTGTTTTTGAGAACACAATGGTGATGGTGATGATGTTTTGTTGTTGTTGTGGTGATTGATGATGAGGGAGACGAAGGTGTGCAGGGAGGGAGAACAAGGGTGAAAGGGAGAGGGAGTGAAAAGGTTTTGAGAGAGAGAACTGAGTGATTGCAGAGCAAAAGAGACTTTTCAGAAAAATAAAAGAAAAGGGAAGGGAACTGGGGGACAAATCAGGCGGTGGGCCCCTTGGGCTCACCAACTAAGACCCAAAAACCATTTTTAAAAGGAAAATATCCCCAAACTTAGTGAAAATACAAAAATACCCTTTTTGTTTCGTAAATCCCGAGACGGGTTGTTATAATACAACTCTACCATAACGATTGAATTTCATAAAACGAACGTCATAAACGGATTCAGGATGTCGAAAAACATAAAGGGAGACCTCGGGTACCCCCTCCCCGACGGCAATAAACCGAGATGGGTCATCGGAAAGTTGGTTGGAAAAGTTATCTGCACCGCTGACAGTGGACAACAGAGCACAGTGCCTCCGGTGGAAGCGAGTGTGCTCCACGCACCAGCACAGGTGGGCACCCAAGCGCGGCTTAAGATCTGGGTTGGGTCCATATAGGTTGGGCCAAGGATTCAATGGGTCTGGGTTACAAGGTTAGGCCTGGGCCTAGGTTTGGGTTTGGGTTCAGATAGGGTCGGAGGCCTTGGGTTTGGGCTTTAGGGCTATTAAACTTGGGCTGGGTTTAGTAGACCGAAGGCCCGGGTTTACACAACCCAAATGCCTGGGTTTAGGGTTACCAGGTCGGGTCAACTCGTCTTTCAAGCCAGTTTCGTGAAGAGGAAGCCTGAGCCTCTCGAGCTCCATTCAACTCCGATACACAAGCCTAAGACTCGATCCACCCACCAAAATGAAGCTTAAAGAACGTAGATTAAGATTATACCTTTTTTCAAGTCTAACCATGGTCGGGAAGTGGTCGAGAAATGGGCTCGAAGCCGTCGGACCTCGCCGAAAAGGTTTGTTGGGTTCTCTGTGCTTCATAAAGAGGGAGGGAGAAGGTCGACACTGGTGGGGGTGCTGCCGTTGTGATGAGTGGGTGCGTGAGTGTGTTGGTCCTTGGGAACGAGAAAAGAATGAGAGAGAGATCTACAAGAGGAAGATAGGTGAGAGTGTTGTGAGAGAGAGAGAGAGAGTTGCTTTTCAAAAAGAAGAAGAAGATAGTCATGGGGAGGGGAAAAAGGAAGGAAACATATGGGCCCCAGTGGCTCGCAAAACAAGGTCACTAAAGATGAAACACGAAAATATCCTAAAAACGTTCGACGTTCGAACGTAGAATCTTCATTATAAATCCGAATTCGAAACCATTCACACCTACGCGTTCGTGGCGATGAGTATGACAAGAATAACTTAATTAAATTAAACCTACGTGTTTCGACGAGATGGTCAACGAAGTCAACTCAAGGGTAAAAAAGTAATTTCATAAGTCCGGCAATATGAAAATACCCTAAATTTAGGACGGGGTTTCACAACATCGACTCGAACCTCTACCACTTCATCTGCAAAGTGGTTGGATTTTGTTTTGTGTGAATCGAACTCAATCTATATGTGGATTGTATATAGACAAGCCTTGAATAATGTACCTGCCAATGGGTTTTTTTCTTTTTTTTTTTCTTTGGTCTTAGATGTCATTTTACAAATGATAAAATTAGTATTAAAATGTAGATGGGAAAATAAGATAGTGAAGTAAGTTTATCATCACTTATAATATATTCTCTAGAAACGCAATTCACAAGAAAGAAAGAAGCAGGTAGGCTAAAAGGGAATTAATCATCTGCTAATTAATTAACAATATTATAGCATTCGGAACCTCCAGCTGCTTTTACTTTAACAGCTTCCAAAACCTAATTCCTCAATTATTCTCCTCTTTATCGTCACTCTCTGCGCATATAAATACGATTACAGCCTTACATCCATCCTTACAGCGTAGCCTAACCTTGCTTTTATAAATTTTATATTTTTAATGACTAGTCTCCCTGGCTTTGAATTGGACATTGTTCCTAATAATAATTCAACGGACTAATTAGTACCAATCCCATTTTTAATGCGACGCGCTTAATTCATGGGACGACACGGCACTACTCAGTCAACAGACAGATATAGCCGCCACAAGACAAACCGCGTACAGAGGTAGTAGGCTGCCTCTGCTGACCGTCACACATTCCATTCCGCTGTGATCTCCAGCAGGCTGCACGTAATCCAATCCATTCCAATCCGTCATGGCAGAAGGAGGAACAACCTTGGAGTACACTCCGACTTGGGTGGTGGCTTTGGTGTCTAGTGTCATAGTCATCCTATCACTTTTCCTCGAGAGAACCCTTCACTACACCGGCAAGGCAAGCCAATCCAATCCTATCCATCAGTAGCAATGATGTCACTTTTTAATAAGAGAAGAGACTACAACTAATCAAGTTAACCCTCCTTGATTGTTTGCTTGCTTCAGTATCTCAAGAAACACAACCAGAAACCTCTCTTTCAGGCCTTGCAGAAGATCAAAGAAGGTCGGTCAAATTCCATTTCATTCATTCATGAATCGATACCATTGAATTATTTATATGATGAATCCAATTGGTGGTGCGCCATGCATGCAGAGTTGATGCTTTTGGGGTTTATATCACTGCTGCTGACGGTGTTCCAAGGACGTATAGCCAAAATCTGTATAACCGAAAAACAGGCCGGTCAATGGCTGCCTTGCAAGAAAGAGACCACCAGTACTAGTACTAGTGCCCATTTCCAGACCGTGTTCTTTCCCTGGAGCAGTGCTGCCCGTCGTTTTCTTGCTGAAGACTCTGCTTCCACCACGTCCGGCTCCTGTTCAGAGGTACCTAGCTACCTCTACTTTCACATGTTGGAGTTGTTCCACCTGATGATTTGACATGACAATCAAAACTCAACCAATCTAACCAACTCCATAATATATGTATGTATATCTAATTAATCTAACTAATTCTTTTCCAGGGGAAGGTCCCTCTGTTATCCACCACGGCATTGCATCATCTTCACATCTTCATTTTTGTGCTGGCTGTGGTGCATGTGACTTTCTGTGTTCTAACCATTCTTTTTGGAGGAGCAAAGGTAATATTAATTAACTAACTGTCATCTTTAATTGATTTCTTATTCTTAATTGTCTTCTTCCTGTTCTCCATCTAATTCACTAATCATTCTACGGATATACCGTCAATTATATTACCATCGATGGAGCAGATACGTGAATGGAAACATTGGGAGGATTCTATCACCAAAAAGGAGTACAACCCACAAGAAGGTAACACTAATACATACTGTTGGTACTGTTGGTTAACTAACAAGTAACAGTTAATGTAATGTTTACACCACTGATCTGTTGAATTATAAGTCTCTAGCTGATTGAGTATTAGAAATAAGATGAGTTTAATGTGTGTATTCACTTGAGCATATTTGTCAAGTGTAAAATTACAAGTTGTAAGGCCATGAGAGCCATGTGGTGTGTGATCCATGTATTTAGTTAGATGAGTGACTAAGATTAAAAGTAGAGTTTTGTGTGGTCCTAAAGCTAAGGCCATCAGTTAATGTAAAGGAGTGTTAGTGCTCACTTTTTCATAGTAGTACAAATTATTCCTCTGCAATACTTTTGCAAGAGAGAACAAGAGAGAAAGTTTTTCGTTTCAGCTTCTTCCATCTCTGTTGTTTTCATTTTCTGTTAAGTTCTTCCTCTTCGTGTAAAACCCAGGAGAAATCGAGTTTCACTAACATGGCCTCAGAGCCTAGTTCGATCGTTTGAGATCTGGGCGTAAACTGTGAAGCATTTTGAGTTACACTTAAGCTCGTTCCGGCTCAAGCGAAGTTGCCGTGTTCGTCTTGTCTAAGCTAAGAGATGGCTGGGTCTGGAAGTTTTGAGGTGAGAACTCCGATCTTCTCCGGTGAGAACTACGAGTTCTGGAGGATTAAGATGATGACGATTTTCAAATCTCATGGGTTATGGAGATTGGTTGAAAAAGGGGTTACGATCTCAGAGTCAAAGAAGAAGAAGGCTGAAGGAAGCTCAGAGGGAGAAAAAGACGATGAGAAAATGGTTGCAGCATATATGCAAGATGCAAAGGCTCTAGGTATTATACAGAATGCGGTTTCTGATCAGATTTTTCCTAGGATTGCCAACGCCGACTCAGCTAAGGTGGCATGGGATCTACTGTATGGAGAATATCATGGTGGTGATGAGGTTAGATCCGTGAAACTTCAGAATCTTAGAAGAGAATTTGAGTATGCTAGAATGCGAGATGATGAATCTCTGTCTAGTTATCTTACAAGATTGAATGATTTAATTAATCAGATGAGAACATTTGGTGAATCCCTTTCTAATGAGAGACTTGTGCAGAAGGTTCTGATTAGTCTAAGTAAACCTTATGATTCCATCTGTTTAGTTATAGAAAACACAAAGTGTCTAGAGTCTGTTGAGTTGCAAGAAGTTGTTGCGATTTTGAAGAGTCAAGAACAACGATTTGACTTGCATAATGTTGATACCACTGAGAAAGCTTTTGCATCATTCTCAGTAAGTCCAAAGGGGCAAAATAGAAGTGGAGTTCAACCTGGCTCATCAAAATTCCAGAAGAATTGGAATGCTAAGGGAAAGAAATGGGATTCGAAACCTCGTTTCCAACAGAAACCTTTCACTAGTCCTGCACCAAATACATATCAGTCACAGTCAATGAGTCAAGAGATTGTCAAACCACTGTGTAGAGTGTGTTCTAAGTATCATTTTGGTGAATGTCGATATAAGGGGAAACCTAAGTGTTATAATTGTGATAAGTTTGGTCATTGGGCTAGAGAATGCACTGTAGGGAAGATTGTGCAAAAGGCAAATTCTGCAAATCAGGTGGAAGTGTCAGGAAATCTGTTTTATGCTAATAGTGCAATTTCAGAAACAAATATCAATGGAAATTGGTATGTTGACAGTGGTTGTAGTAACCACATGACAGGGAATGCTGATCTCCTTGTTGACATAAATACAAATGTTGCTGGAAAGGTGCAAATGCCTACTGGTGTGTTAGTGAATGTGGCTGGAATGGGTTCTTTGCAGATTGACACTAATAGAGGTAAAAGGTATATCAGGGAAGTCATGCATCTGCCAGGTTTAAAGGAGAACTTATTGAGCGTTGGGCAAATGGATGAGCATGGATATTATCTAGTGTTTGGAGGAGGTTTGTGCAGCATATATGATGGACCTTCACTTGAAAATCTTATCATCAAGGTTAAGAAGAAGGAAAATCGATGCTATCCTCTTTCTCTGGTGAAAGATAATCAGTTGGTTTTGAAGGCTAGTTTGGAGCATTCTACTCAGTTTTGGCACAGAAGATTAGGCCACTTGAATTTCAGAGGGCTTCAGCAACTCAGTGAGAAGAATATGGTGCATGGTCTTCCATATCTAGAAGCAACCAAGGATGTATGTCAAGGATGTCAATTTGGAAAACAGCACAGAGAATGGTTTCCAAAGGATCAAGCCTGGAGAGCAAGCTGTCCTCTAGAACTTATACATGTTGATCTCTGTGGTCCTATGCAGAATGCATCATTGGCTGGAAACAAATTTTTCATGCTACTCATTGATGACTGTACAAGGATGATCTGGGTGTATTTTCTCAGATACAAATCTGATGCATTCAATTACTTCAAAAAATTCAAGTCAATAGTGGAGCTGTAGAGTGGTTTCAAAATTAAAAGTCTAAGGAGTGACAGGGGTGGAGAATTTTTATCTTCTGAGTTCACTAAATTCTGTGAAATTGAGGGCATTCAAAGGCAACTCACCATGGCTTATACTCCTCAACAGAATGGAGTAGTGGAGAGAAAAAATCGAACTGTGGTTGAAATGGCAAAGACTATGCTTCATGATAGAGGTATGCCATATGTTCTTTGGGCTGAAGCTGTACACACAGCTGTATATATTCTAAATAGGTGTCCTACAAAGGCACTAGGAAATACAACCCCTTTTGAAGCCTATAGTGGCAGAAAACCAGGTCTTGCACATCTCAAGATTTTTGGTTCCCTGTGCTATGTTCATATACCTACTGAGACAAGACAGAAGCTAGATGCTAAGAGTGTTAAAGGTGTATTTGTGGGTTATGCTACATGTGAGAAGGGATACAGAATATTTGACCCATGTACCAATAAGTTAATCTTGTCAAGAGATGTGGTTTTTGATGAATCTATGACCTGGAATTGGAAAGAAAATTCACAAAATTCTGCTGCTGCAACCTACATTCAGGATCAACCTGAAAATGTAGTTGGTGTGAATTCATATGAGATGAGTGCGATTGAAGAATGTTCTCTCAGTCCTAGTTCTTCTTCTCATGCACAAGAACAAGAAAGTTGCACTCCTGAGTCTGCACAGATTCCAGAAACTTATGATCACTCACCTCTAAAATGGAGAAATTTGAATGATGTTCTTGCTCAATGCAACTCATGCATTCTGGAACCAGAAAGTTATGTAGATGCAGCTCAAGATAAATCATGGTTAAAGGCAATGGAAGATGAATTAGCTATGATTGAGAAGAATGGCACCGAGAAACTTGTGGATAGACCAACTGAAAAGCCTGTTATTGGAGTTAAATGGGTTTATAAGACCAAGTTGAATCTTGATGGATCAGTTTTAAAAAACAAAGCTAGATTAGTTGCAAAGGGCTATGCTCAAAAGCCAGGTCTAGACTACAATGAAACGTATGCTCCAGTGGCAAGATTGGATACTATCAGGACCCTTGTAGCTTTGGCAGCACATAAGAGCTGGAAATTATATCAACTTGATGTAAAATCAGCTTTTTTGAATGGGGTATTGGAAGAAGAGGTTTATGTGGATCAGCCTGAAGGATATGTAGTCAAGGGAAAGGAAGATAAAGTCTATCGATTGCATAAAGCCTTGTACGGATTAAAGCAGGCTCCAAGGGCTTGGTATGGAGAAATCGATACTTACTTCTCACAATGTGGTTTCGAGAAAAGTTTGAGTGAACCAACACTGTACATCAAAGCAAGGGGGCAAGACATTCTGATTGTCTCTATTTACGTGGATGACATAGTTTATACTGGAAGTGATAGACTGATGCTTGATGAATTCAAAGAAGATATGAAGAGAAAATATGAAATGACAGATTTGGGTCTTCTCCATCATTTTCTTGGAATGGGGGTAATTCAGACCAATTCTAGCATTTTCATTCATCAGAAAAAATATGCCAGTTCTTTACTAAGCAAGTTTGGTCTGAATGAGTGCAAATCTGTGATCACACCACTTGTGGCAACTGAGAAATTAACTAAAGATGATGGAAGTGGAGCAGTAAGTGAAGAGCTGTACAGAAGCATTGTGGGAAGTCTTCTATATCTCACAGCTACTAGGCCTGACATCATGTATGCATCCAGTTTGCTTGCCAGATTTATGCACTGTCCCACCAGCAAACATTTTGGAACTGCCAAACGTGTGCTCAGATACATCAAAGGGACTCTAGACTATGGTTTGGAGTATACAAAAGGCAAGGAGACAATGTTGATTGGCTACTGCGACAGTGACTGGAGTGGATCACCAGATGATAGCAAAAGCACATCTGGATATGCATTTTCATTTGGAAGTGGAGTTTTTTCTTGGGCTTCAGTTAAGCAAAGTTGCGTGGCATTATCCACTGCAGAAGCAGAGTACATAAGTGCATCAAATGCCACTGCACAAGCAATCTGGCTTAGATTTGTTCTAGAGGATTTTGGGGAACTTCAAACTGAAGCAACTCCTTTGCACTGTGACAACACTTCAGCAATTGCAATCACCAAGAATTCTGTCTTTCATCAGAAGACCAAACATATAGACAGAAGGTATCACTTCATTAAAGATGCACTGCAAGAAGGAATCATTGATTTGATCTACTGTCCCACAGAAGAACAGATGGCAGATATTTTCACAAAACCTCTGGCTAAAGATCGGTTTAATTATCTCAGGAGCATGCTTGGAGTGAAATCAGCTCAAGACTTAAAGGGGAGTGTTGAATTATAAGTCTCTAGCTGATTGAGTATTAGAAATAAGATGAGTTTAATGTGTGTATTCACTTGAGCATATTTGTCAAGTGTAAAATTACAAGTTGTAAGGCCATGAGAGCCATGTGGTGTGTGATCCATGTATTTAGTTAGATGAGTGACTAAGATTAAAAGTAGAGTTTTGTGTGGTCCTAAAGCTAAGGCCATCAGTTAATGTAAAGGAGTGTTAGTGCTCACTTTTTCATAGTAGTACAAATTATTCCTCTGCAATACTTTTGCAAGAGAGAACAAGAGAGAAAGTTTTTCGTTTCAGCTTCTTCCATCTCTGTTGTTTTCATTTTCTGTTAAGTTCTTCCTCTTCGTGTAAAACCCAGGAGAAATCGAGTTTCACTAACATGATCAGGATTCAGATGGATAATTGTTCCTCACTAATGAAATATTATGTGTGCAGTTTTGACAATGAAGTTCACCCACGTCCACGATCATGATTTTATTAGGGGCCGCTTTCGTGGTATTGGAAAGAATTCAGCTATTCTTGGCTGGTTGGTGAGTCATCATATCAATATGGACAATCCTTTTTCCTTTCTTTTTTGAGAGTAAATTAAATGCGCATCCAGGGTATTGACAATCCTTTTTCCCTTAATTAGCTAAGCTTCATCAACTTACTCTCTCTACGTCTGTGTCTACATCTGCATCTGCCTGCTAGTGCTAGTGCTACATCATAATATCAAATTCTGAGTTAAAGGGATCCCTTCTTTTTCAGCATGCATTTTTCAAGCAATTTTATGGCTCTGTGACCAAAACAGATTATATGACAATGCGACTAGGCTTCATCAGTGTAAGTTGATTTCGTTTATTATTTTCTTTTCTCTTTGTGGTGCTCGATATTGCACATTTTGAATGTTTCCACACAAATTACACTTGCTGTTTCAAAATTCAGAGTAATTCTTTCTTCTGTAGACCCATTGCAAGGCAAATCCAAATTTTAATTTCCACAAGTACATGATTCGTGCCCTTGAAGCAGATTTTAAAAGAGTCGTTGGGATAAGGTTAGTTACACTTACAACCGATAACATCATAGATTCACAAGTATCATGCTCATAGTTCCATTAGCTGCATCTTCTTGCTAGCTGTTTAATTAGCTCACTTCCTTACTCGTAGACTTGGAGGATCATGAGATTTTATATTGGAATATATCGTCTTTGGAATGTTCCCTCTGCTGTCACAAGGCATTCTTACTTTGAGGATGCTATTAACTTTTTGTTTTTATTTGCAATGACAGTTGGTATCTTTGGATCTTTGTGGTCATCTTCTTGTTGCTGAATGTGTCGGGTAAGCTGTTACAATTTTGGGATTGTATTAGTTTTATTGGCAAGAATTTGAACCTGCTGCATCGCATGAAGATCATTATCGACACCTCACACATACTTGTGATGTTTAATTGTACGCAGGTTGGCATGCCTATTTCTGGATAGCATTCATTCCATTCATCGTAAGTTTGACAAATTTATACCTCAAAAATTAATGCACTAGTTCTCGTTTTGTCTCCCCAAATCTACAGGCTAAGCAGGTAACTTAATCTAAGGTTGTTTCATCTGTTGTGATTATTTCTTAATTTTATTGATTGTCTATGAATTGGTGTGCAGCTTTTACTTGCGGTTGGGACTAAGTTGGAGCATGTAATAAGTCAACTGGCCCATGAGGTTGCTGAGAAACACATTGCAATCGAAGGTGACTTGGTTGTTCAGCCTTCAGATGATCATTTTTGGTTTCACCGGCCCAGACTCGTTCTCTTACTCGTTCATATCATCCTGTTCCAAAATTCGTTTGAACTCGCATTTTTCTTCTGGATATTGGTAACATTTTTCTTCAAAAACATCAAATTGAAGGTCAAAATGCTAGTGCTAGTAGATTACTTTCTCATATTTCACATTTGGTGCTTCAATCTCTTGCAGGTTCAGTATAAATTTCATTCCTGCATGATGGGGGAACTTGGTTATGTTATCCCAAGGCTTGTAATTGGGTATAAAACCATGTTCATTAATTATAAATGTTTGATATATTCGTATTCCAACACATGTTCATAAACCCGCTAACATGTTTTCTTTCTGCTCTCTCGTCCGAATGCCAATGTCTCAAGAGTATTCGTTCAGTTCGTCTGCAGTTACAGTACCTTGCCACTGTACGCAATTGTCACACAGGTGAATTGCATTGCGGGAAAACACACACACACACATAGAAGAGTTATTGCTGCAATTGCTTTCCTTCCTTTGTTGCTCTATCCATCTAATGTCTACTGCTTGTAATGAAATCAAGATGGGAAGTTCGTTCAAGAAGGCTATATTTGAAGAACATATACAAGAGGGGCTTGTTGGGTGGGCTCGGTCGGCCAAAAAGAATAAGGCGTTGAGAAACGCAGCTAATGCAAATGGTTCTGGTTCTGGTTCTGGTGCTGGTGCCGGTTCTACTCAAGTAGGTGTAGGTGTAGGTGTAGGTCTCAAAGAGAAAGAGAATGAGGCTTCAGTGACACTTGAATTGGCTCAAAAACTAAAAGTTGGAAACAAGGAGGGATCTTCTCTCCAACGTCATGACACTACTTCTACAGGTGCGGCTGCGGCTGCGGCTGTGACTGCCGTAGAAATTGAGCCCCAACAGCCACTCATACAGCAAAGTAAACTTCAATAAACCTGCCGGAGAAATCAAGCATTGCGATTGGATCATATGCTGCGGCATACACTGCATTATGCTATCAAAGTGGATGTTGGTGATACAATTCTCCCTGCGAGTGTTTTTAACTCTTATCAGTTTAAAATGCTTGTAACACTTTAAGTAGGCATGAGGCTCTTTTAAACAAGTGATTTGTTATATCAAGCGCGCCACTGTTGGCAAATACCAACTTCAATGTTGAATTGTAATGTTATTTGAATGTAAACTGCACCATAAGTAAACTGAATTTCTAATAAAAACGATTGTGCCATGAATGGGGTTATGATCCATGTTAGGTTTTTTTCTTTTTTTTTTTATGCCTTATTTTAGAAAGGACTTCAAATATTTTCTTTATGTCTGCCAAATGATAACTACAAACTGGCTAACACTCTTGGCTTAACTTAGTTTGCAATTCTCACATAGATTAGACATGGTCAGGTAAACTTTCTTGCTAGTCGGGCTAATTTGCATGCTTCTGAGTGCTTTAAAAAAACTTTTCTTAAAGAAAATTGATACTACAGGCAATGTAGCAAAAGCTGTAAACATGAATACAAGTACAAAGAAACTAGATTACAAAAGAAATTTAAGAAAAAAAGGTAGGCTTGCAAAGCGTTAAAGTTTTTTTGTGTTATTATTTGAGTGTCATTTTTTTCCTTCTTTTATGCTGCTTTATATAAAACAAACATTCTTCTTGTTTAAGCTTTTTACTCTCAGAATAATTCTTTCTGCTTTCAGTTGTTGATGTGACTACTGACAAAATATAAAAATTTACAATACTCGAGCTTTCATCCTCTCAAAACTATCAAAATGCCATCATAAAGTAGCTTTTTATATGTAAAACCGATTGGGTTAAACGTACAGTGTGAAAGAAGGTTTGTCACCCACAATGCCACATATAAAGCACTTTTAAAATTTTTGGACTTAAGCACTGTTCATCTCTGTCAAAATAAATAAAGAAAATTAATGAAAATAGTTTGAAAACTTTGAGTTTTAACGATAAGGACAAAATTAAGATAAAATGACTAGTACCAGGATTGACTTTTTAGTGTAAAAATATAGTTTTTCGTTAAAGTAAACAGTACTGAAAATTTTTCATTAAAATTTCTAAATAAATACGCATCCGTCCTTTTAGGTGAAAATAAAGGACTTGGCCCTTGACAGTCCCAGTATTTATTTAACAGTAAAAGCTTAAATTGTTATCCATAACTTACCTAGTTTTGACTTGTCATCTAGTTTTTCTTGTAAATTTAACTTTCAATCATGCCCCAACTTTCATACATTCAAATATATACATAGTTTATGCACGATCTTGCTATATAAATACTGGCAAGAACTTCATAACCAATTTCAAAGCCGATGTTCAATATTGATTAATGAACATAAACAATCTTCTCATTCAAACGAGTGCAGGCAGCCTCCATTGGCAAGAAATTTCATAACCAGTTTCAAAGCCGAGGTTCAATATTGATTAATGAACATAAACAATCTTCTCCTTCATACGAATGCAGGCAGCCTCCACGGCGTGCAAATCTAATTGATTTGGCACACGGATTGTACGGACATCTTGGATTTTGTGCTGGGACTTCATATATTCTTCCAGCTGCTGAATTGGTTCTGGATTTTGGAATTGTTAAGAGGATCTATCGCCCTTATCTTTGTAGGTATTTCTGGAGGAAAGACTCTTCCGGCCTCCACGCACTGCTGTTATGGTACCTCGTGCCTGCTTGTTTAAGCACTTTGTCAGCTCACCATCATAGTCATTTTCGGTGTCATTATCTCCCCCCTGCGGAAGCAAAACCCATACCATTGGAGTGTAGCGTACAAAAACGAGCAGAAGGGTCTCAAACAATAGATAAAGTCCCTTGTTATATGTCCTCATCCTGTAGACACCAAACCTAAGGACCTTACTCCCACGGTAACCTTAGTACAGACCACTCCACATATAACCCCAGGAACACAAGGGAAGACAACTGCTATTAGCCTATTACAACTGCAATAAGGTATGGATCCACAAGATCTTTACACATGAGATCGTAAACATAAGCTATCTAACATCTGCTACGCCATGATAGACAGCACACTCCAATGCCTAGATAAATCCTAACTTCAAGTCCATGTAGGAAGCACAATATAAAAACAATTTCAAGACCTACCTTGTCACTCACATCTTCACATTCAGGTTTAGTGCTTGGGCCTGGTTCACAGTTTCTTAGACCGTCATCCACTCCTTTCTCTTCATGATTTAAATTTGAAGTCTGATCCTGATATATTGCGAAAGTGTAAGTACGAACTTGCAAATGCAATGCATGATGCAAGAATGCATCTCCAAGTAGACAAGGACTGCATAAACAAAGAACCCTTTTTTTGGTCGAAGTGAATTTGTCAGAATGCCTCTCCAAGTAAGATAAAATTATACAAGACTGTAAAAGTCATTTTCATCACAAGCCGTTCGTTATTATTATACGAACACAAGAACTTTCCAATTTACTCTGCAAATATCAGTTATGATTTCACTAATCTTCATTTTGTACATAAATAATCACTTAAGACCTCAGATTGTTGCTCAGACACTTCCATTTCTTCATGACATGACAGCAAGTAAACAATGTACCTGATCTAGCAAACGCAATGAATCAACACCCCTCTATGTTCGTTTCATTTAACAAAGAGGTGTGTGTCATCTTCAGTTTCTTCATCACAAGAACTAGCATCCCTATCGAAACCTCCTTCAATGAACTGCATGTAACAACATGATATTGAGAACATTATAACATACAAAAAAAGCCAAAGTGAACAAATATTGGACTCACAGATGTCTTGCATATGATTGAAAAAGAATTTTTGGTTAAATGAAATTGATCACAAATAATTGGACGAGGCATACTGTAACCACAACATGCAATATACACTCGATAACCCAGGGAAGTGTTTTTTACAGAAGGGTGGAACATACTACATGCAAAAGTAAAGAAATTTAAATGGGTGTATCATGTAGGCTCCACAAGTATACATCAAGCATGTAGCATGAATCTACCATGCTTCACAACGATACGATACCTTCTCAATGTCTTGATCCTTCCTAGTAAACCCACTGGCAGCAAGTTCCTTGTCCAGAAAAAGGGGCATCCGCTTTCATCTGTGTCTACCTCTGTATCTGTTCCATCACATCATCTCAGCATTCTTGAAAAGTCATGTTGAACCTGAGAGAAAGAAAGAATTAACAAACTAGAGGGGACCTTCATTCCCAATCTTTTTTCTTCCCATAGCCTTAGGAGTCAGGGGTTACAGAGGATACATAGCCAACACCATGGACTAATGATCTTAAAAAGGAGATGAAATCGGAGGAGTTAACAAAGAAGCAGAATTGGTAGTTGAACATAGCCTATGTGTTATTGTTCAGTGTATTGCTTTTAAATTAACTGTATGTTATTGAGAAGATGGTACCAATTGCCAAATATCGTCTGGAAGCACTCCTCCTGTCAACCCACCATGTGCATTACATTTAGAAGAGTCGCGATGCAAGAGCAAGCTTGAGCAGTTTTTCTTGGGATAATGAGAACCATCTACAAAAGAAATGTCAAATTATTATAACCATTAAAATTTGTATTTTTTCAACTGAATTGTCAAATGTTATTTCCTTATTAATATAGAACTTTAAATGATTGTATTTATTAAAAAAACTGTTGAAACAAAACTTTTACTGGTTAAAATGTTAGTGAAATAAGGAATTCATCATTAAAATTAACTAAAAATAATTAAATGTGACATTTATATCAAATTTGACTCCTAATCACAAGGGCTTCAAATCCAGTTAGCAAATAACACTTCGGTTGGAATAAATTTTTTTTTTTATGTCAAATATGCACAATGACATTTCAACTAGGATTTGACATTTCTTTTGAAAATGTTCTAAGGAATCTAAATCACTGGTTGGTCGGTGCATCTATGGAGCGTTCATCTTATTACTATTTTTTACATAATTTTCAGTTTTTTTATCATTTTAATTTCGTTGTCTTTTCAATTTCTGAGTTACAAGTGCTCATTAAACTGGAATAGGATCTTCTCCGGATTCTCTTTGTGGGAATCCGGAAGATTAATTAATCGTGTCCGTTCATTATACATCGTGTGATCAATTTTCGTTAAATACTATGTATAATCAATTTAAAATTTAATTGCACGATGTACGATGAACGAACATGATTGATTAATCTCTAGATCCCTACAAAGAGAATCCGAAGAGGACCCTTGTCTCATTAAACCGGAAAGGGATCCTCTCCAGATCCCTTCCATCTAATCCTTCTCATCAAACAATTCGGACCCTTGAAATTTGATCCAACGGCTAAAAACACGGGCCCACTTTAAAAGTCATAATAACTTTAACTATTGGATCAAATTTCAAAAGTCCAAATTGTTTGATGAGGAGGATTAGATTCCGGAAAGAATCTCTTTCCCATTAAACCCACTTCTGGTACGACAGATTTGGACGTTTTTTTTATGAAAGAAATTATCAAAGTTTTCTCTCTCTATCATGCCTCTTTTGTGAAATTGACAGTTTTTGTTTTCTAGTTCAACAGTGTTATAGCCTTGTAGGGTAGTACTAGAAGAAACTCTTTCGGATTTTCAGCTCTCCTCACAAAAGGAGAGAGTGGACTCTATATTTCATTTCTCATTTGACCTTAATTCGTTTCTTTCAATATCGCCCTGCATCAGAAAATGTGTGGCACAAGGCTGAGCTTATATCGCTGGGGTATTTGGACAGGCTTGGCATTGCCCACTAACTGCCCTTTTGAATCTGGACTGTTGGAGCCCCTTTTTGAGGTTGAGGGGCTAAAAAAAGCCTTGCCCTTGCCCTAAGGCAACGGGTGGGTGGTTTATCAGTACCAGCCCACTAGAGGCTTTTTCCAAGGGGCAAAAAACTAAACAGATTAGAATCGAATTCACCCCACACATCATTAACTTGAAAGAAATAGTTCTCTGACAAGTTATCATTTTGTTTACATGCTTCCACACATACTTGCAACCTGAAAATACATTGAACCAACACAAGGGCATGTCCAAGATCTAGACATATAATTTTTCATTTGAAACGACATTTGAAACTTGAAGTACATTTAAATGACAATATATAACATATCAAGTCTATGATTAAAAATGAGTGATAACTCATATAATCCTCCACAGTATAAGGATTACCATCGCCATGAGTATGGAAACTTAAGCAGCTCAGTGTACTTGGAACAAAGCACAATTATCACTACAAGCACCACATGCAGCT